TTATGTTATTTTTGTTGTAAATATATCTATTGTTTGGTTTTTTGCTTTGTAAACGTATTTCTGTCTTTTTACTAGGATGTGCAATTTCTTTAATATTTCTGTTGAAATGCTATGTTTTAGGCATTGTTTTCAACTTTTATGGCATTTCTAATGGGAATCATAAACTAAATGAACTTACAAAAAAAAATTTAGTTTGTTGTTGATTGAAACTGTTAAGGCCCTTTTAAGATTTTTATAAAATTGTATAAGTATTTCTATCTTTTTACTATGATGTGCAATTTCTATGATATTTTTGTTGAAATTTTGGGTTTTTAGCACAGTTTGCAACTTTATAAATTTTTTTATGAGAATCCTAAACTAATGAACTTATAAAGAAAACTTATTTGTAGCAGCTTATTGTGGTTTGTAGTTTTTATAATATTTATGTTGGTACTTTTGTGTTTTTTGCATGATATGAAACTTCTATGATATTGCTACTTCCTTTGTAGAAGTTTGGTTGTGTTGCTTCTATTTCATTATCGTAATTGATTTGTATTTCTAAACCTGAATTTTTATCCATCAGTTTTGGAACTTGAGTTTTTTGTTGATTATATTTTGTGATTAGGTTCTCTCTCTTGACAAGTCGAATGGAATTTTGTTAATTGCTAAGACCATCTTTCAATCTGCTTTCTACATTTATAATAAAAGTTACCTTCAAACTTAATTGGTTGATAGCTTACATATAATTAAATTTAATGAAGTTAAAAGCTATTCAAATATTAGCTTATTTTTAGTTTATCTGCTTTTCAAAGTAAAAGCTGGATCCAATAGTATTTTGTAAGAAACTCTAAAAAAAATTTTAAAAAAATAAAATTTTTATAAAAAAAGCTTTAAAAAAAGCGCCAAATATGAGCTTTCTCTTCTCTTTTTTTTTTAAAAAAAATATATGCCAACTTCTCAAGAGAATTATTTTTTTTCCCAAAAAGATCCTTTATCAAAAAATACCCCTTTCCTCTCTCCTTATCAATCTCCCTTTTTTCTCTTCCTTTTCGTAAATCATCTTAGGGTTTTTTTTGTTCTTAAAAAAATTAAAAGAAAAGAAAACACAAAATTCAAAACTGCATTCAAGTATTATTTTTTTTCTTTCTATTTTTTTTTCATTTTTTTTCTATCATTTTTTTTGTGCTTTGAAAACTTTTTTTATTGTTTGATGTTTCTCAGTTTATTTCTTGATATGACAATTATGTGATGTTTATTTGCTCTTAACTTCTTTCTAATGTATATAATATTTGTTGATTATTATCGAAATAATTAATCAAATAAGTCAATGGTTGTTGAGATAAATTAGATAAAAATTGAAAAGTCAATATTTGTACACATTTATGGTAACTCAGTTTTAAAGATTTTTTTCTTTTAGGTATAGGCAATACTACAAGAAATTTAAAATAGACTTTAATTCTTTTGGCAACAAGAATTGCAAAATCCTTGAATTTCTTAGTAGTGAATTTTATATTTAAGCTAACAGTATCCAACAAATGATGTGGCACTTCTTGACAAAATAAATAATCTATTAAAAAATAAAAAAAAAAGATAAAAGCCAAAACAATTTTGTTTATAGAGGGGAACTTTGTTGGTGAGGACATCAAGACCTTGATAGACTTGTATGAAATTAGCGTTGATGATTTCAATAGGAAAATGGACTGCTAAATCGATAGCTAAACGTGATTTTCTTGACCCATTTGGATTCATTATTAATATTACTTTGGATTCTCTTCCTTGAATGTAACATCAATTTTGTTCAATTTCAAAGGTTAAAAATTTCAAGCCAATTTTTAAAAAATAACTACAAATATTTTTTTATATTCTTGTTCTATCTTTTAGCAATTCATAATATTATAAGGGAAATTATATTTTTTTCACTCTTATCTTTTTTTACTTGATTCAATTTTTTTCTTTTGATTTATTAAACATTCTTTATAGTAATTTTAATCAAAATTAAAGTTTATATAAGTTATTTTACCAAATAGCTTATATATAAAAAAGAGCTTATAAAAAGTAAATTTACCAAACAGTTTTAATTTAATTTTAAATGCTATTATATTTCATAATAGTTTTTAAGCTAAAAAAAAGTCAAGTCAAATATGTTCTTACCTTCAAATTTAATTATCTGATAATTTACATATAATCAAATTTAATGAAGATAAAAGCTATTTAAATACTATTTTAAAATTAATTAATGTTTTATTTTTTACTTTGTTTCCTTCCACCTTAATCATTGACTACTTCTTGCCTGCGTGATGGTTTAAATAAATTCAAGTACAAAGGAACCATTTCCACCTCAAGGAAAAAGATCACCACCAAAAAATAAAACCCAAGTATCAATGAGTAGTTTGATTTTGTATCAAAAAACATATAAAAATTGAATGTTTCAGACAACATAAAAAAAAAACCACATTAAGGAATCACCACATTTGCTAAAATGTTTTTTGGTCAAAAGAACCTTCCAGTTCCTATACTATTTAATTTTATTTAATTTAGTCTTTGTACTCAAAATTAAAACAATTTATTTTCTTAATGTTATGAATTGTGTCAATTTAGTCATTTCCCTTAACGACATCCAATTATACCGTTCAAGGATGACGTTAGTGTTAACGTGTCACATTTTAATGACATGACGTTTGAGATGATGACATGGCATGCCACATGACACCAAGTGATGATGTGGTAATACCACATGGCACTATACGATGGCATGGCAATGTTGACGTGGTATTGGCATGCTAACAAGTTAGTACCACATGGCAGATCAAAAAAAGTTTTTAAAAACATTCTATCATGTCATAGTGATTAAATTGAACAAAATATATAATATAGGAACTAAATGAAAAAAAAATTAAGATGTTAAGGGACTAAATTGAAAAAAAATATTTAAAAAGTACAAATCTTTAAGTAGATTATTGATATGCTTATGAATTAGCTAAATATTTAAGTTTAAAAGATTTATTATGTTAATATATATATATATATATATATATTTTCTTACTGAATTATTTAATTATCAAATATGTAAATTAATTTATCTTTTTTACAAAAAATAAGTTTGAATTTTTCCTTGTATAAAAATTTTTTTTAAAAATTTCATAACTAAAGTCAAATTTAGATGAATAACTTGCATTATATTAAAATAAAATAATATAAAATGACTAACTATGTTGATTTAGTTAAAATTTTCACAATTTATAAATACATATTCTTTTGAAATTATTCAACTCTTACCCAATTTACTTTTTATTTAAATTTACTCAAATTAGCAAAATATTTTGATTTAGTTATAACTTTCACAATTTACAAATACACATTCTTTTGTAACTATTTAACTCTTACCCAATTTACTTTTTTATTTAAATTTACTCAAAATTTCTTATAAAATGATTTTATTTAAATTCAAATACCATAATCAAATTCTACTAATTTAAATTTAAATTATTAATTTGGATATCCAAAAATTTTGTTAATAAAATAAAATGGTACCAATATTTACAGTTATATTTAACTTTATTAACCATAAATGCAATCTTTAATATAAGAAATTTCAACTTAAAAAATATAATTTGAAATATTAAACAAAATAAAAATATAAAATATAAATAAAAAATTAGAATGGTGGAGTTCAGATTCTATTGTTGTAACAAGAGGTTTGTCATATCCAAATTAAGCAAGTTAAAATAAAAAATTATTTTTATAATCATCGTTAACTCCATATCTCCGTTCTTCATTTTTTTAAAAGAAAAAACTAAATCAATATATTTTGCTAATTTGACTTTAGCTTAAGTTAAAAACCAAGTTAAATAATTTTTAAATTTTTATACTATAATAAATTGAAGAAAAAAGAATTTATTTAGTCATTTTATATTATTTTACGTTAACATAATATAAGTTATTTATCTAAATTTGACTTTAGGTATAAATTCTTTTTAAAATTGTTTTGATAGAAAGAGTATTCAAACTTAAATTTTGTAGAATGCCAATGCCATATCAGCATTACCACATCATCATATAGCACCACGTGGCATTGTCAAATCATCGCTAAGTGCCACGTGACATGTCATGTCATCATCTCAAAACGTCTCGTCATCAAAATGTGACACATCAATACTGACGTTATCTTTTAATAATAAAATTAGATGCCATTAAAAGAAATGATTAAATTGATATAATTTTTAAAATTAAAAAACTAAATTGCTTCGATTTTGAATATAAAAAATTAAATTGAATAAAATTAAAAAGTACAAGAACTGAAAGGGTCTTTGGATCAATTTTGTTTATTAATATCTTTTTTGCTCTCAACAAATTGTGACTTGGATATTCAAACTACCTTTTAAGTTTTTTTTTTTGTTTTTTGGACAAGGGCAGTGATACTTAAGAGGATAATTACCCAACATGCACCCACTGACCACGCACTCACTTTACTACAATTCAATAGAATGTCGTGTACGAGCTTCCGATATCAAGATACAATTATGCTATTTACTATCACATCAAATTTCACTATGCTATTTTTTGTGCCTTCCTGAAAGTGTCAATCCTCTATAGTAAAAACAATGAAATAACCGCGACATGTACGAGTAGTTTGATTAGTCAAAATATTATTATTTATTTATTTATTAATATTATAATAATCTCGAATCGGATCTGGACTCAGAAATATAGTCAAATACCCAACCCGAACCGCACTAAGCCCTCGGGCATCGTTCTAGTTGCAGTAATAAAAAAGCCGTAATATTGGTTGGCGTAAGGAAGGTGGGTTAGCAAAGAGACAGCCTCTCTTCGAGTTAGGGTTAGGGTTTTCTTTTCTTCATTGGGTTTCCATTTTATCAAGAGATTTAGAAGCTCCCAAACCCCTTTCGTGTAAACGCCTGCATTTCACCTCAAGCAATTTAGCGTCTGCAGCAGAAGCTTTTGCAATACAGGGTTAGCAATCTCTGCTAGTTTCACCGATTCTTCCGCCACCTAGAGTTACGTTTGACTCTCTTCAATCCTTCTCTTGTTCGTTTTCGTTACTTTTTTAAAACCTTAGGAACTTTGGATTGGGATAGCATGTTTCTGCGAAATGGGATATAATTTTATTAGCTTAATTGAATTTTAAACTCAATTAATGTTTTAAGCGTTGTGCTATCATCTCATGTAAACTAGAAAATTTGTAGTTTAATTGAATTGTATCAAAATTATTTACTTGCTTGCTTGGAAGAGATCTAAATATTGGGACTCATGCCTTTACCAATGCAATCCTCATCTAAAGTTTTAATTTGTACTAAAAATAAGACTAAGTTGATATAATGTTATTTATTGGTAGTATCATCATGAGTCAATTTTTGTAACCATTTGTCCTCCTGAGATACATTATTAGGTTGAAGCTAGACGTGCTTTTATGTGTTGGCTTGCCATTCTGTAAGTTATCCTAAATGGGTATTTTCTAGAAGATTGTCTTAGGTCTGTAATTTTTTCCCCCTTGCCAGCTAAGTTCCATTGTTTGTGTGTCATTTGTTTTTTAAAGTAATTTGTTATCAATATTTGTTTAGTGAATGTTATTCTTATATCATCATTATGTGACATTTCTTTGATTATATAGTTTCTGATGTTGTAGAAGAACTGTTGTAATTGTATCACTGGAGAAGAACAAGTGCTTGAATTAATTTAATATCTTTGTAATTGCCTTATTCACGGCATGGACAACGAGAACAATGACAATGATTTTACCTTTTGTCAGGCAAGTTAAAATTCTACATCTTTCATAAACTTAAACTATAGCTTTTTGATTGGCTGTATTGACTCAATTATCAAGAATCAGCTTTATTACTCTATTGTACGTTAAAATAAACTTGAGTACTGGATACTTTTAATTTATTATCAGAAAGTTACGTCAAATCTATGGTTTTTGATTTAGGTTGGCTTGCCTACTGATCAAAACGGTGTGGACACAACGAATCTTGTAGCTGATATTGGTGGTATTACCATCAAAGATGAATTCTCAAATAGCATTGATAGTAGTCAAAATGGTGGTTTTCTCTGGAAAGATAAACAACCAAATAATGCCACCTTGGGAAAGCAGGCTGCTGTTGGTTCTTTGACTGTCAATGTTATAGACGCATCATGTCTGAAACCATCTTGTGAATCATCGAGACAAGTAGCATCTGGAGATGCAGATGCTTCAGGAAAGAAAGCAGAAAAACCTAAAATTTCTACTAGAAAGCCTGCACCTCGGACCAAAGTTCCTTTTGAGAAAGGATATAGTCAAATGGACTGGCTTAGGCTTACTCAAACGCATCCTGACCTTGCAGGTAAGTTGTGAAACGGTTTCTTCGTGAGATTGTTTTGCATTTGCCGTATTCCTTTGAAATTGCATTGCCAACTGCACGTTACTTCAATGTTTTTACCATAAATCATGTGTTTCAGGATTGAAAGGGCAGTCAAATAGGAGGCTTATTTCAATGAGTGAAGTTAAGCAAAATCAAACAGAAGGTTCCATGTGGACTGTTCTGAAAGGACGTGTGTACAATATATCTCCATATATGAAGTTTCACCCTGGAGGTAAGGACATGATTTTCCATTGTGGGAGTTTGAACCCTTGGTGGATTCAACTCCCTGTTCTTTGATAAATTTATCGTATTTTGAGATTTATCTGGCCCAATTATATTATCCGCATTTCTCTCAGGTTGAAGTTGATGCAAATGCATATTGATTGTTTTCTGACAGTCTATTCTCTCTTTTAGTCAAGTGCTTATAGTTTTTGCAGTGTAGGAATGGGCATGTAGTTGAAGATTTATCTGCCTCTCAACTCTGTAGTTTGAAAAAAAAAATTTTCATTTTTTATTTTCTTGCTTTGGTTTTCAATGAAGATGCAAAACTTTTGAATTATACTTTATAAAACTGTTTGATTTTTCATTTTAACTATTGTACCATGAATAGACTCCAAAACTTTTTCATTTTAACTTTTCAAGCTAAATTCCTCGATTTCTTTTTTTTTTCCTCACAAATGAATAGACTCCAAAACTTTCACCGGCAGGGTAAGCACATTTAAATGCGGTCAGGTGCATATGTTGTGGTTAGTTTAATTATATTTTTGGAGTTCTTCCCTAGAATTTGGTCGAAATTTGGGTTAAAGAGCACCAAAGAAGCTAATTATGTGGTGGCAAAACAACTTTTTCTTTAGTAGAGCGATATATTCGTTGTTGTTTAATTTTTGTTGGGGGAGCTGATTGAGGTATCCTGAGGTCTCTCTGCAATATCTTCTCTATATAAAGTTAAACATAACTTTACAATTGGTCAAACTAGAGTTCTATCGAATTGTCTGTTTTTTTTTTTCCAATTTTCATGCTTAAGTATCTTCCTTTTTTGTTTTTGCCTTTTTTCTTTGAAGGCAACCACAGAGGAAACATGAAGATGAGTTTTAAGTGGTGCCTAAGAGAATGAAAAACTAATCTAATTGACATTACTGTTGATTTTGTTGATATCTTTGTGTTAAACTCATTAGCCTTTATTCTGATTCATTAGGGGTAGCTCCATGATAGTTATCCAATGACGATGCTTATTTGATGCCAAGTTCCAGGAAAAGATTTAGGAAATTTCTTGTTGTTGAGGGTTCCTCTTATTGATCATATTTTCCCTTTAAATTCTAGGGTGTTACTCTTGAAGGTTGTTATGTTTGAAGAATTCTATTAGTCATGGTAGCATCATTTAGAATATGGTGTTATTATGTTTTTTTTTTTTTTACATTATTTTATCCATGAATTTTGTAGTTTTATAATAAATATATTGTCTGAACAGGCTTATTAACCTATTTTGACCAAATCACTTTTCTCAGGTGTTGATATGCTCATGAAGGCAGTGGGAAAAGACTGCACAGCTTTATTCAGTATCCTTTTTTTTTTTTTTTTGGAAATTATTTGTTATTTTGGTTGGTCACCCCGATAATGACAAAACTTTATGCATGTTTTAGAGCTCAAATAAATTTAGACTAAGATTATAGTACTTATGTGCATTTAAATTTGACGTTTTCCATTTAGGATTTTTTTTTTTCAATTAGGTGCTGTACTAATTAGATGCTCATACTCATTTGAGATGGTCGTGCAATCAGATATAGGGAGGTCTTATCATCATATCCAAAATGTTCGGATCACATGTCCAAATTTCTTGGTGCAAGTATAAAACTGCTATTTCCTTGTCTTTTGAATGATGGAGGCAGTCCTTAACCTGTCTTTTAGACAAATACCATGCTTGGGTAAACTCAGAATTCTTACTGGAAAAATGTCTGGTGGGTACTTTGGATGATAGTGAAGGCAGTAACAGATAATAAAACTTCTTGGGACTTGGCTTCATCGGCATCACTGCTGCTGAGGGACATAGTGCAGGAAGAGAGTGCAATAATATCCTCTTAAGTGGTCAAACTCATATTATTCACATTTTATACATCTGATTTTGTACAAGATAGTGAATGAAATAAAGTTGTACGTACACATTGTGCAATAATAATATATACTAGCCGGTGATATTTATTTAGTCATATTAACCCCTTGATTTGGTGATGTGTTGGAACTCAATTTTCAAGTTGAATAAACAATTGATCTGTTTGATGTTGACCTTCCCTTCTATGGATCTATGAATTCTTACATTCAGAAATGTTTGCTGGATATGGTTGAGCATGCAAATCTATTAGTCTCTCTGTTGTGAACAGATCCAAAGTCGTCAATCCTTGTGTGGCAGTAAGAGCTAAGAAGATCGTTGTCCTGGCTGTAACATCTATGAACTTGAAGCTTGCAGGCCTGAATTTTCACCCTTTGCTCGAGATGTGAAGGGAACTTTGACAGCATCTTTGGTGGTAAATGCCTCCACCATCATTTGTCCATGGCAACCATTTCGAGCATCTCCAATGATGAATGTGAGGTTATATAACTTGTTCGGGACAAGTCAGAGAAAATGGGCAATGGCATTTTCTCTCCCTGCAAATACGAGCAACTGTGGCATGTCCAGCAGGGGCTTTGGAGCGTTTTGAATCAATGACCTCCACAGCTTTAAGTGATTCAAAGGTGCAGCCCGGGGGTGGGGATGTGAAATCCTCCTGGCGAAAGGAAGTAGGACACCTTTGTAGAGCTCACTGTGGCCGTCGACCAGACCATCTGAAATGTTTAAATAATGATTTAAACGAGTTGAGCTTAGGAAAAGTTCACAGACACTATGTTTGGGCTTTGGACTGACTGAGAAAAAATGTAGACTGGGGGTTTTACGTACACTTCTTTATCTGAAGTATTCCAAGTAACTAACTAATTTTCTCCTTAAAATTTCCACTCAAATTTAGACCATGACGAAGCCAGACAATACGAGGGCAGTGATGATTTTGCTACAAAGTGTGGATTGACATTCTGCCTTAATTTCCAATGAAAATTCTCATTTTTTCAAGGAAAATTAGATCTACAGTTGTCCATTTAGGATGCAAAATTAGGTACATGGAAGGCTACAGACAAAAGTGATTTTATTTAACGGAGAGATTGTAGTACCGAAAAAGCAAAATTAGATTGAAAAGCTTTGAACCTACTACATTTTTTTTGAATGGTTACGATCCTTCACATGTTAGCAGACACACATGATGTTTTGGATAAAACATAACTTTCGAATTGTAGTGAACTCACAAAAAACTAGTTCTTAACCAGCATGTCCTTTCAAATGCAACCATTGATTATCTATGAACACTCCACATCATGAATACACCATTTTTCTGATTCCAAAATTGATCCATTCTTAGTTTCAAGTATGAGCAAATAAACAAAAGAAGAGTAGACAAAAAAGTCAAGAAAAAGATCTTAGTTTATTTAACTTTTGAAGTCTTAAGTTTGGATAAGATAGAGTCGCATAGTCTTGATTAAATCTAACAAGATGAATCCTATATAGTGTATCAATACATCGGATATTTCCGATTACACAATGAATCATTCGAAAATGATATAATGGGATTGCCATTAAACATTATCAGCCTTGATTCCCTAGCTACCAAGGTTGAAGAGTTAAGAGAAAAATTACATGACAGCTAGAAATATAACAAGACGATGATGACTCGGCAATTAATATTTGATCTGCAAAGTAATGAAACAAGTCAAATCATTTTTATTATTTTAAGAGCGAGAAACAATTATGAATTTGACATGAGTGCTATTTATGAGACTTAGAGATGTCGGTGATGTGGCCAATCACATGACAAAAGATAATGGAAATGAGGAAAGATGGGCAGGACAAGGCTAAAGTGAAGGGAAATGAAGCAGTAAGAATTCTCTTTCCCTAGTTTGGTTGGGTGCAATCTCGTCGAATTTCACCTTGATTTCCTGTCAAAACCCCTACACGGCCTAGCTTGGTAATGGCAGCCACAAAAGCATTTTGAAAAGCTGCATTGTTTGAAGCGAAAAGTTTGACAGTGTTTCTTGATCTGCGATCAGTAAATAGTATCTGATCAGAGGTGAAGAGACCCTTTCCTTGCTGAAGATTCTTGTAGTAGACATTGTCGAATATCCGAGGTGTGGTTGGGTCCATGTTGATGGCAATTCTGGGGTCAACATTTCTGGGGCACATTTGCCTAAGCTGCAAAGCGTATGCAAAGTTGAGAGAAGGGTCAATCTTGCTCCGGGGGCTGAAGTTGTAGATTCGATTGGAGAAACGCCCGCAATGGGAGAATCCCAGGGTGTGTGCACCTGTTCAAAACATCACAACCAACCCTAAGTATATGTTCAAAGTTGGGAGGTGAATTAGAGATTGCATGGTTATGACTAAGAAATGCAAGAGAAGGTGAATGGTTTACCTGATAATGCAATCATATCGGTCTGAGTGAGGCCGTGCCTGGCAAACATGGAATTGAGCTGGTCTAAGTTAAAGTCAGGGTGAGGAAGCTGATTTTCAACACTGGCTTTTGTGGATATCCTCCCATCACGTCTTCCCAACTCCACTCGATAATTCGGTCCTCCGGTCTGAACGAAATTAATTCATTAATTTATTAATTAATTAATTTATATATATATATATATATATATATACTTTTTGTCCGCAACAGAAATAACACTTTAGATTAAAATATGACAAGGAGATTTCTTTTAAATAATAACTAAATTCAAATGATATTTTCCTGGGATTTAATAAAAATATATACATAAATTTCTATTAATAAATTAAAAATATGTAAAATTTTCAATATAATTCGATGTTTTAAAAGTTGAACCCATCGCTGAATTGAAAAGCAATCGAAAAGTCAAATGTTTATTGTATTTAACATTTATTTAATACCAAAATCATATTTTAAAAAACACTTCCCTCTCCAATCCGATTTTAAAAACATTGGTATAATTCATATGGCATGTATAAAGGATTGAATAAAAATTAAAGTCTAACTAATTTTTTTTAAAAAATAGAATACAAGTTACAAAACACTTAAAAGGAATTAGATAATTAGAAAAAAAAAAAGGAAGAGCAGAGAATATTACATGCATAATTCATTCTGCAATTCTCAAAAAGAAATTGATCCTGTGAAAAAAAAAATAACAACTAAATTTTCTTTCATTATATTCTAAAAATATATATTTTATAAGTATAGAAAGAGTTTACTCCTCGCAATGATTAGTATACATCAGTATACATGTTCATTAAGAAAAAGATAAATTCAAAATTTAAAGTGTTAAAAAATAGAATTTAATATTCGATATTAAAAAGAGTAAAAGAAGCAAATTATTAATCAAAATTAGAACTAAAAATGTGAGCAAAATTATAAAATTAGCGTATCAATTATAAAGTCTTGTAAAGGTAGTCAACTTATACTCCTTTTATCTCCTAAACATGTACAGTATGCTAATGTAATTTTTAACTATGGCTTCATTTTATTTTAATATATTATTGATTAAAATATGAAAAAAAATACTTTCTAAAATTCTTGAAATGAAGAGTTGTTCATACATATTTATAAAAATTCAATTTAATAAATATTTAAACAATCGAAGATAAAAATTTAAAGAAATTAGGCCATAAAAAAAATCAAATTCAAACATTATTTAGGAGAGGGAATTAGGAGTAAATGTGAAGATGGAGGAGTGAGAAACAAAAATGCATGGTTTGTTGAAAAGTAGAGATAGAAATAAAGATTGCATGTATACCAAGGCTATGACATCTCTAGTGGCAAGAGCTAGAATGTCTGCACATGAAACTTTGTTTCGGCACCGAGGATTACTATCAAGAGCCGCCTTGGCTTTGATCACTGTGTCGAATCCATCTCCCGCTAGGGATGTGTCATCAGGATGATCCTTCTCCGCGTTCCCATTGCCCGCCAGCATCACCGAAGCATCACATCCCTATATGTATAGATACACACACACACACACACGAGAGAGAGAGAGTGGGTGAGTACGTAAGGACAGATACGGGGACGGCCAATAATAGATACAAAGTCTTAAGCAATTAATTCACTTCACTTACACGAACAAAGCAATCGTGGAAGAAGAGCCGAAGAGTTCCGGGAGCTGTGACAAAGGTTTGCTGGAACTTCGTTTGGACTGCAGAGCGGACAATAGACTCAACATTGGGGCATGTTTTTCTATAGAAGTCTGGTCTAAGCCGAGTCTGAGCAGAAGCGATTGTGAAGAGGAGAGGAAGAAGGATACATGAGACAACAATTATGCTTTTGTTTTCCATGACTTAGCTTTTCTTCCTTCACATGGATTGAGTTGGTCCATTGCATTATGTATTTTATAGAGAGACTTTAGAGCGGAACATGGCTGCATATGCACCCTCCATCTGGAGGCTTGAAAAATCACTATATATTGTTATCACGTTCTCAAGCAACATTATTACAAAATATTAAAATGTTTTGGAGCCTTGTGCAAATGATTGGGCCTTGGACAGATTATGGGTCTTTTCTTTATTTATTTGTTTTATGTTTCGGCTCCGGGTTGGGAGGGATAACATGCAAATAAGTTCATGCAGGAGCACAAGGAGATGATCTAAGCCTTCAATTTGGATCTCTATTTTAATTTAGTTTTGTGAAATAAACAACGGGAGAGCAAGGCCAACGCGTGTACAATATGCCAACTCAACTGCATGTTAGTGCCCAACCACTCCCAAAACAAAAGTCCAATCGAAAAGCGTTTAGAGAGGCCAAGAGGCAAAGAAGAATTCCATGTCCTTTTGTTGCGGTAGGCTAGCTGTATATGAATTGTGGAGGCTGTTGATACTCTAGAATTTGCCAATTAACTAAAGATATTGGAATTAAGAGTCGACAGCATCACTATGATTCACAATATCATCTTATCAATCTAAGTCCCTCTCCCATGGATTACGGAAATCGTAAGCCTATTTCCATTATTGTTTACTTCTTTAATCTATATATATATATATATATATATATATATATATTCTGCTGTGGCCTGTTTTGGCCTTCGGATTTCAAAGGCTTTGCCAAATCAGCGGGCTAAGATTCCAAATTTGCAAACGTGCTTCTCTTACAGTCTAAATTGGGTTTTGTTTTTATTCATCTATCTGATTTGATTTCATTCATTTGATTAATTTTTTTTTTAAAAAAATTTTAATTATTCTTTTATTACAATCAATCAAATCTTTCTACTTATATTTTACTTAAAATAATCTCTTGTAAGTAATGATTAATTAATTATTATTAATTAAAATATTTTTAATATAATAATATTAATATAAAAAATAAAAAATATCACATAATTATATCATGATGTCACATTAATATATTACACTATCATTTGTTATGATACATCAATGTCCAATGACATTTTAATTAATAATGAATCAATCATTAATCATTAATGTTTATTTAACTTAAAAAATAAAAATATAAACTTAATTGAATACAATAAAAAATTAAAATTTTATTTAAATTTTCTAAAATAATTAATTTTTTTTTTTTTACAAATTTTAGTTGAGTCTTTCTAAAAACAATCAATCCCTTTTTTTTTTTTTGGTTAAAAAAGATTACCCTTGACCTGATCATGTGATTTACTTAACTCATATCATCAGGTTTTGGAGACCATATAATCTAAAATCCAGTTGTTACATTTCCTATATATAAGCTCTACTATTTTCTTTAAGTTGATTAAAGATACCCAAGGAATTTTGTTCAGAAACTTGTCTCCAAAAGAGAAGAAAAGATAAATAATCCAACAGAATTCAATTAGTAGATTCTTACAAAGCCTGAGCCGCTGTTGAAATCACCACACAGCCCAGCCCGTAGCTCATCCGCAGCTGGAATAACAGTGTCTTTTAACATCAGCAACAACAAGAAGAAAGAAGAATAACAATTGCTCCCAAATACAATAGCAGCAAAGGAACAACGAACTTTTGCACAAGAGGAGACTCCATTGAAAAGATGCAATTTCACATCCACCATACATCAGTAATTCTATTTTAAGCTTTGTTTGGTCCACTGACACTCTCCAAATACTGTCATCCATTTGTACTTTTGGCTAAAAAACAGTCATCGCCGGAGCAACATTATTTGACAATGTCCTAGCTACTCGTGAATCCATTCTTCAACCAACAAAAATCCAGGTCAATAGAATTGTACCGTCCGGATCCATCCACATGTTGCATCATAATACCTGCATGCGCGGTAGATTCCATTAGAAATGACTACTGATTGCTTGATAACAAAGAGGTTCATCAACTTGACTGTTGTAAGCAAAACAGAATCACTTGTAGCTAATACAAAAACAGCACTATCCCTACCTACAAAACATGTTCAGGGTAGTTATAGCCAAAGACAAATACTGCAATGTTCCCTACTTTTAAATAATATAAGAGCACATACATGCAAAAGAACTAAAAGAAACTGATTGAAACCACTACAAAGCCAAAAATTATGGCCACTTAAAAACAGAGAAGTTAATCAACAGCTTGGGACAATCAAATATCTTATATATGTTTAGGGTTTATATACACTGTCAATCAACCACAAAATCACACATCATTAGTAAGTTAAAACACTTTACATCCTTAAAAATAAAAATCGATCATTTATAACATTTAATTATACAAAAAAATAAAATCATTTTTCCTTCTATTTGAACTCACTCTCACCAATTCTCTCAAAGAGAATTTAGATCTAACAAATAGCATTGCAAGAACAGCAGTGGTCAGAGTTCCGAACACATGCCCATAAAACCACAAAGCACATAATTGCACATGCCATTATCAAGAGAGACCTTGGAGATTATGTTGTATCTTGCAAAGCAAATATCACAGAATGTGCCGATTGCATACGGTTCTAACCCTTCAAAACTTGGCTTTCTCTTTCGCTTTATCCCTCCCACGTTTCCATCCTGCTGATGTGCTTCCATTTTCATTGTTGTTAACACGCATTTTCTTTCAAGTGATGATCTGCTTTTAACTAAACCAAGATGCTTAGTAATTCTGATATTTCACATCCTCTCGATAATCGAATCCACTTCATGAGGCAAAGCGGTTCATGACTCAGATGCAAAGGATGCAAGGACTTTCGCATTGTGGTTTATGGACATGTGTTCGTAACTCTGTTAAAATTTCATCTTATAAAATTTAAATTTAAATATTTTACGTCTACAAGCTTTATCATCAACTTTTTATAAAGAATACAGAGGAAGACACAAGCAAGGGCTAGATGCTGAAGAGAATGACTAGCTAAAAAAAAAGCAAAGAGATATTTAGTTTGAGAGCAAGCACCAAGCAATAGTTAAAAAAAATAGAAGCAGCAGTGTCCTTTAACCAAGACTAGACGAAAGAGTGAAAAAGTAAAGTAGAAAGGATTTGGACTTCAAAGCTTTTCACATTAAGAATCTCCACGCAAAAGCAAGTCAGGGAGGTCAATGCACTACCAAGGTAAACAAAAAGAATTACCTTGTCCAATCCAATCACAAATGGAAATATGCAGGTATCAAGGAAAGTAAAATAAGTTGTATTCTTGTTCTTTGTTTGCATTTTCGGATGTAATAAGTTTCTTTTTTAATTATTATCATTATTTTATCAAAGTTTAATAAAGTTTTTAGTTGCAAGTTCTTATATTTATCTATAAGTTTATATTTTTTATAGACAACGTTCTAAATCTGCATCAAGGATTTTCATTTTAGATGTTCATTTTATATGGTTGGCAGTAGTGCTTCATAGTAATTACAAGTTTATTTTTTTTAAGATAAAAAAGTCCCATTTACCGTTTCTTCTCTATAAAGAAGAAAAAAACCCCACAAACACTCATGTTATGTTCGCTTTCCATTTCCAAAAACACTCTCCAAACAAATTTATTGGCTGATTTGAAATAATAGACTATACTGTCTTTTACTACAATAATTAGAAGCCAAACTTCCACACATTTGCTAACAGGCAATACTCAATGAATCAAGTAAATGTGGAGGGAAGGCCAATACTGACATGTGTATGAACTAGACTGGGTGTTTAAACCACAGTAACAGGTTTTGACGTGGTTACAGTTGCAGTTTGCAGATGTTTCAAGTGTTAGATAGATCTCAGGCAACAGGGTTGAGCCTTTTTTTTCCTTTTTCTTAGATGCACAAATTTACAGGGAAAACATACAGATTTGACATTTGGAATTACAAGTCATATATTTCATCAGTTTTGAGTAATCTACATTTGTTCTTGGAGTAGTTCAATAACACCCCTCTATTTACGTCCACTCAAATAATTTTACTAATTTTTTTAATTTGAATTCACCTTATTTTAGACAAAGTAGGTTAAACTCAAGTCAAACCAGTAGTTTATAATTACTTCTTTTTACACTAAGACTCCTTTTTTTTTTTACCAGTTTACACTAAGACTCCTATCCTAAGTAAACCATTCCCCTTTAAGCTTATAGAAGTATAAATAATCAGTCATAACAGTTCATGCACCGATAGCAATGAAACAGAAAAGAAAACTAATTGCTTCCATTTAAGTTTGGTTGTTTTGCTCTTGCATTAGTGTCATTAGGTTGAGACTCCTTTCCTCATTCCTTATGCAACATCCAACATGCATGAGGATCTATGCTCCTAAAGCAGCAGCAACCTGCCCTCATCCAACTTCAGAGAAGAGAGAGAAAGAGGGCAAATAGGTGTAGAACCAGAGAGAAGGAATATAAGGGGCATTGATACAACACAATACTCCTTCATCAAGTACACAAAGTTTACAAGCCACACACTTCCTTGGCCTCAATATCACAACCAGATCAGAAAAAGATCTAAGTTGCATATAAGTTCACATTGCTTGTCACAATTTGAGGTTGAATTTCTACTTGGGCTTGAAAATAAAATTGGGGGGAAGAAGAAAAAAGCATGGAAGTAGCAGAACAGTGTTATTCTTGGTCCATGGCTAGTTTGACTCTTGCATAACTGTGCCAATAGGCACATGAATCAGGCCTTCACCAGAAATGCCAGAAAAAACACTAATGGACCAAACCTTTACATATTGGCATAAGTAACCTATCACCCAATGTTTAGAAAGAGAGAGAGAGAGAGAGAGAGAGATCAGAATTTAGAGTGCTGCTTTTAAACATTCAGCAAAAATTACCTGTACGTAATATTGACCACAGAAATGGATCTTTCAGCTGCCCAGGAGGACTTTCTGAGGATCAAGTTGCCCGCTACAATAACTAGAAGGAACAGCAGAAAGTTCTTGCCTTCCTCTCCATTCCTCACCAGGTTTCAATGTGATAGGTTTCTCAATAGCAGCAGCCTCCACGCAGAGCATATGCTTGTATTCATCATCTCCAAAATCAGCCATAGCCTTTGCCTTTTTATCCCAAGGATTCCACACCACTGCATGCAAAAACAATAAAAACATTAGTGCAAAGAACAGCTTTGGGATATTAACGTGTGAAAGGCATTCCATGCTACCCTTTTTTTGCATTTAATATATGCTGAGAGAAACTAGTGGCAACTGAAGTTCATGATATCTACAGGAACTGGAAAAAAACTCAAGCTGAAGTTCATGATACATATCAAGCATAGATCTGAAAAGAGAAAGAGAAAGTAATTCCCACAACTAGTGGCAATCATCTAACAATAATCTACATATCAAGCATATAGATCTGAAAAAGTAAAGAGAAAGTAATTCCCACAACCGGTGGCAATCATCTAACAATTATCTACTCAAGTTCACAGTCATAACTCATGTTAAAGTATTCTTATGCCCAAGAAAAAAGACAAAGTAGTTCCTCTACTATTAAGTAGCAATCAAAAACATGATAAAGCTCTATTTTTAAGTTCTGACCATGTAAATATGAATTATACTTGTTTATGTGATTGGGAGTATCAACAGAAACATTGCTTAAATATAATAAAAATCAGGCCCCCATGTACATAAAAGCAAGGACGTCAATAAAAAAGCAGCTGGACAAAATAAATCTCACCAGCATCAGGTAGTCCGTCTTTGCGTATTACAAAGGTTCTCTTCTTTTCATGATCCAGAATTGCAATTTTTGTAGGAGTACTAAGGTATATCTTGTCCAACTGTTTAACCACAATTAGAATATGTAAACAGTAAACCAAATTTAAGTGTGAACAGGTGAGAAAAAGTCATAATGAACTCACTTCTGTTTCAAATGTTATTGCATCTCCCTGTTCAGTAAAACGCTCCTTGTTCTGTAAGTTATCCAGATAATCAAGTGTCTCTAATCCTTCAACACGAACTTCACTGAATGCAAGCAACTAAGATATTTTAAATACTAATAGTATGAGCTCATCCACTGCCCAAGAATAATGTACAGTCATGAAATTAGACAATCATCAATTAACATGTTCTAGCATGAATCAGTTTTACCAGTTGAGTTGCAATACCATACTAAATGAGAAGAAACAAGCACCGACTCAATTAGTGCCTACACAATAATTAGTTAGATGAATTAATGAACTTCAAGAGGGTTAGACGTTTGCCAGATTAATTTTGAAGAAGCTGCCACGAAAGGCCTAAACTTTTACAACAATAATGCTTCACAGATCAAACAGTCATGATTCACGAACCAAATTTTATCCTAAAACTCTAAGAGAGTCTGCTATCAGAATAACTCTATCCATAAATTTTATGTGACAGTTTTTTAATTTGTTTGTTTGGGATGGGATAATGTTACACAAGAGCAATAATAAGAAGGATCATGCAACAAACAGGACTTCAGCATTGCTTGAAAATATTTTTAAGAACAGAAAACTAAATGAATGGCAAAAGCAATAACCATATATTTTCACTACGTCTACCCTTCATGGATGAATTAACTTCTCAATCAAAATGAAGATGGGTTCCTCAAATGAGTTACCTTTCACAATAAATTTGACTCTACCATTCAAAGACCAAGAGACCTATTACAAATTAGATCCCAATTTATTTAGGAAAGTACCGGATAACTGAAAACCTTTTACCAATCAGCAACGCCGAAAAAGTTATTAAACAAATGAACTTTAAGGATCATCACTCATTTGTTAAAACAGCTAAGCCTGCACTCAGTCTTTTAAGCTTTCAACACATCAGAGACATGCTTTATTGCCTCAAGAGTGTGGACTAGTCAAAAACCGCAATAAGACTAGTGCTAACCAAAGCAGTTCTGACAAGAAAACATGCCAATATATTAAACTACACCTTTAACACACACATTCTGTGCATGTTGAATAGTCAGTACATTATTGCTCATTCTCTTGTTTTATTCATATATTCATCAACTGGTTTTGCATTTTGTATATTAAATGTTAACCCTACATGACCAAATGTTGTATTTGTAATTAAAATATCCACCTTATAAAATACTTGGAGAAACCTAAAAAGATTGATGGCTTTCTATCGTAGTATGGATAAACCAAGCTTTACCAGATCCATCGTACACCACAGCAAGTGTACGGCTATGTGTATGTAGTACGGTAATTTGATTGGCACGAGGTACGAAGGGATAGGCTACTTCAAATCACTAATTCGGATCATGGTATGGTTGGAATTCTTGTTTGGGTCGTTTTGATAATATAGATGTAACAATATATAATTCTAACATTTATATAAATAAATCTAATATTAACAAATAAATACTTAAAGAAAAATATTAAATTTAAGAATAAATCCATGACTGTAATAATAGAGGTTCCAGAACACAAAGCTAGCAAATAAAACTAAAATCAAATAAAGAAAGAGAAACTACAAAAATAACACTTAAATTACATGATCTAAACCTGATAATTGTATTTTCCTTTTTGAGAAAACTAAGAATTATTGCTGTTACCTTAATATATATCTTATTAATTATGAATGACCAACAAGATCTTTTCTCTCTAAAATAATATAAAATTTTCAACATGTAAAAACTTGGCTTCTTGTAAATACTAGGAGGATCAGGTAACTTTAACATTTAACATGTTTTAAGTTTTTAAACCCTTGAATTAATAGAAATGTCTATTTTCTTCTTGTCATAAGAACATTTGGTTGCTGCTGTCAAGGGTCAAGAACAACAAGTGGATACCGGAGGGGGTCATCGTGGAAAGCAAGTGTGGCTTTAAATGAGCAGGCGGGAGAAAATCTGGTACTCCACTTTTCACAAACTGGATCACGAGCACAACACAATTAGGATGGTCCGATCCAACACGTGATTCAAAGGGGGGTAGGGCAAATTAGTAAAAATATAAACAAAGTTCCCCATCTCCCAACCTTCCACAAATAACAAGTCAAAGGAAACCCAAACCCTACCATTATTGCTCAACGCGTCAAACACAAAACAAGCTTGCAACAATGGAGAGAATTTTAGACCTTCCACAAATAACAAGTCAAAGAAAAACCCAAACCCTACCATTATTGCTCAATGCGTCAAACACAAAACAAGCTTGCAATAATGGAGAGAATTTTAGACCCGTTATCAACTAGAAGTCAGTAGCTCAGAACAGAAATTTCACAACTACTCATAGTTTAGCCATTAAAACTTAATGATAATAAACTAAAATACATAAACTGTGACACTGGGAGAACTAAATAGAAGCTACGAAGAGAACATAAAACCAAATCATGCGATTTTTATCTCAGAAAAGACAAGGTTGCAGTCATGGTGAGAATATTAGACTATGGTATCAACTAGAAGCCGGTTGCATGAAAAGAGATTTAGCCAATTATGATAATTAAATCTTAATGCGAAAGAACTAGAATACACAAATGCGACAATGGGAGAAGATAGCGGAACCTATGAATGTAAGAAGATAAGATTAAAGATATGCAAATATAAATCTGGAAGTAGTCATATCACTGAGCATCATATCATAGACAGGATTAAATATGAAGCAAATCTTTTTATTTACCTGATGTCAGAAACAGAAAAATAAGTGTGATATGCAAATGTGAATGTAAATGGCTTCCCATCAGTATTTGTATTCCTGATGCGAGACGTTAACATTAGATCTCCTCCCGGGCCCAAAGCTACCCTCAGGCGGAACTCATAACTGAGATAGAAAATAAATCCATGAAGACAAGTTAATTTGTCCAACAGAATGAGGAAACAAAGATTTTACTAGGGATCTCTCTACACAAATTGATGATAAAAGATTATAAAAAAAAAAAAAAACCACAACCTGTGAGGCCAAATCTTCATATCTTCTTCAGAAGACCTAAGGATCAAATCAATGTGAGCTTTACTGGATGAGTTTGTTGGAAAGGCAGGTCGATCAGTGTCAATGCTCCAAAATCTATTTCTAGCAAATCCATGCTGCTCAAGAGGACCATGATTTGAAAACTGCAAACACAGAGCAGGTTTTCATGACCAGGATGATCATGGTCAAAACAAGCAAGGACAATAGCAGATATGCACATACTTGAGGGAAGCATATTGGTATTCCTCCACGGATGGCTTTCGGAGGCTTGAATAATGCCTGCAGAAAATGAGTATCTGGTACATTAGATACAAAAATACACATAACCTCTAAATGTTGTCTTCTCAAATGCTTGCATTTGTATATGCAAGTGTTCACTTTTAATGTTTTTTTTTTTTTCTAGGAAGGTTCATCTGTAAAATTTTCAAGTCATATATCATTTTATACTTGATGAACCAAAAACTTTCTTCTCCCTTATCTTCTATTACTACTGAAAGGAACAAAATTGTCATAGAAGCTATGTTCAACGCAAGATTTCATTGGCTGAAGAACATTAAGTTACCGTACAGCTCTTTTTGCCTCAAAATATATAAAGTATTTCATTTCATAATACGGTGCAGGGTTTCAAACAAATTTATACAAGTTTATTCAATTTTTCAAACATGTCATTATTTTAAACTTACTTTTCTGAACAGTGAATCTGTGGGTTCAAATGATTGCAATACGTACAAATCTGCTCTTCATGTCTCAAATGTGGTTCAGAATGATTTACAACCTAGAAAACTGCTAATCCATCAACTATTGCAATTGCTTACAGACTCAAGAGAAAGATCTGGGTTAAACAGGACAACATGGGAAGCAAAAATGCTTTCATTAAAAATGATGAAATACCATAAGGATTTCAGTACCAAAATAGTTTACCGCCGCAAAGGCCTTTACATAAATTAAGCACCCTTCAGACATCCGCACCTTAGAACCATTATCACGGAAAGCATGAATTGCATCTGTTTCCTAACTCACCTAAAACTACAGCCCTGAAACTAACGTGATCCATATTTGGAAGCTTTCCAATGTTTTAAAATCTGGTAGTGAATTAATAAAGTATAACTCACTACTAAAATTTGCTTATGCAATATCACTTATTTCATATTCCAACAATATATTTAAACATCACACTTCATATTCAATAAAGAAAACTACTATCACTGAATAGCACCTTACTACTGACGAAAAGCAACTCCTCTCCATGGTCATTCTTCCAAGATGTCACATGGCCTCCAAACAAATAAACCTGAAAACCCCGCAGCAATAAAAATAAATAAAAAATAAAAAAGAAATTTGATTTCTTGAAAAAAAAAAAAGGAGAGAGAGAAATTCAAGAAACCAGAGAGAATAAAAATTAAATTGAAAGAAACGAAATAAGAAGAGCTCAGATCAAATTGAACAGATCCTGAAACAAAAAAGAAGAACGGAAGTCTTAACAATATTACCTCGGCGGAGCTGCCACGTGTCTCACGGAGGATTATTTTGTCAAGGCCGTTAACACCCTGGGACAACTCAACGGGGACTCTCTCGCTCGACATCGAATTAACTCACTGATGCTTTGAGATTTTATTTATTTCACAATTTAAAAAAAAAAAAAAAGAGGAAGAATAAAAAAGTGCCCGATTCTAAATTGTTCTAAAGAAATCAAAAATCAAATGAAATTCGTAAAATTTGTAGCTCTGCCTTTTGTTTATTCTTGAATTACTATAAGCAAATGTTCAAGTTCAACAGTGTCAAGCTCTCTCTTTTCCTTTTTCTTCTCGTGCTCTTGCACTTTCCTTTCTCTCTCTTTCTTTTATTACTTTTCCCCGCAGATTTTACTCCATAAAGACAAAGCGTTGAATCTACATCGCCACCCTCTGGACGGCTAAACGTTGCGCTAGAAGGGCCGAGAGGGGCCCGGAAGAGAAGTTTAGCTAAAGGCTACATGGCCCAATATCGTAGTTGCCAACCCGACATGCCAGTCACCTGTGCCCACGAAAGTCAGGAATAAGTAGGGCTATGAACAGTTTGGAGAAGAAAAACCAAATCAAACCGGTTGGTTCATTTGGTTTGGATTGGTTTAGTTCAATCCTTGGAGAATATTATCTCATCCAATTCTATAACCGTGTTCAGACCTCTTGTCTTATGTCCAGCACATGAAGCAGATTTTGTATCACTAACTTCCTTGTGGAAGCACACATTAAAGTTACCATCGAACATCTGTTGCACTGCCATTTCCCGTTAAAGTTACCTTGCGTCCATTATGAATTTCTTCATAATTTTTTATTTGTGGCTTATCCTGGCACACGTGGATAGTCGTGCCAAAGTCCAAAATCATACGACCAATCATTGGATTTAGTAGGAGTTAAGCATCTTTCAGAAACCATACTAATATGCAAATTTTAAATCATTGCAATAATTTCATCACGATCATTTTCAATCAGATTTTTAGTATTGGTATGCTTTAATTTTTGTTTTTTCTTGAATTTGCATTCAAGATTGAGATGACTTTTCTTTCAACCAGAGTAACAAGGTCTGCCCTTTATTTTTCTTTTGTGTCAAAATTGTTGGAATCATGATATTTCCTTTTAGTTACACCAAAATTATTGCAAAGTGAAATCTTCTATGGTATGCAACAATTTCCTTCTATAATCATTTCAATTAGGACGTGATTTTCCTATTAAAACCCCCACTTGTAATTGTTATAAACTTTGACTTTTAATCTCCAAGTGTAGAAATCATAACTAGTAAACCATTCCTTTGATCCATGGTAGATAAATTATCAATCATTTTAAATTTAAAAACTTATTAGGTCCTTGTTTTTCATTGTTGTATTTATCTACAATGCCTGCCATATTTCTCTTCGAATCTGAACAAAAGTAAATAAATCATACAACCAATCTAATACTGTGTTGAGAATATGACCTCTATAGAACACATTATCATCCATACTCTTATTCCATTCTGCTTCCAATTCTTTAGAGTCATTGTCTTTTGGTTCGAGAATATCCTTCATATTCGAGTCTAGAACATATGCAATCTTCAAAATAGTAAGCATAAACATTATCTTTTCCTTCCATTAATTAAAATTTACTCCATTAAATTGAACCAGTTTCACAACACTTCAAGATAAAGATTCCATCTTCAAAAACAATTATCTTAAGATTTTTGTTTATCAGACTGATTAGGAGAGAACAAATTCAAACTCAGCTTGATTAATTGAGTACCAGAATAAAGGACACCTTGCTAGATGAATAAGAAAAGAAAATCTAGAAATAAAGGAACAACAAAGGAGAAGGAAAACTCATCGTTTTGAATAAAGGAAGGGAAATTGGATACAAGAGTGAAAACGCACTATTTCATTTATAAAAAAATTTTTTAATCTTTATTTAAATTTCAGTTATGTTTGTTAAATGTAATTATTAGGTACTTTCTCCCTATTACTTTACCTTTAAACACTGTATATATATAAGCTCTACAAACCTTCAATGAGACAACTGAGAAATTTTCTCAATATTTTTTCGCTTTGTTCTTTTCTTCATTGTACTTATCTGCCATTGTATTAGAGGAGGAGGGAATTTAGCTGGCAATCATTGTTTTTCTTGCAATAGCATAGGACATTGTATTAATTGTTGACTGTGTCATTCCTTTTACAACAACTTTTCTTTGGATTTTTGCTACTGCTTTGTCACTCAAGTTCTTTTAATCCCTATATTATTGGTTTTTTCACTAGTTACCCATTACTAAGAATCATTCATTAAGTTGGTAAATTATGGCTGAATCAACACAAAACACAGCTCAAGCTAGTACATAGACCAACACTCAAATTACTCAAATCTCACCAATAACAGATCTCCAATCACCCTATTATCTGCATCACACAAATAACCCTAGATCACTAGTCTTTAACCTTAAGTTGAACATCACTAATTATATTGCTTACAGCAAATCTTTTTTGCTTGTTATGTCTATTAGAAACAAAACAAGCTCCATTAATGATTCTATACCAAAGCCTACAATCACAGATCTTCTTTATTGTCATGGATTCATTGCAACGATCTTTTGGTAGCTTGGTTGCTCAACTCTATTTCCCAACCGATAGCATCAACAATATTTTTCATGAATTCAATGGCAAAAACTTTGCCCAACCAACTAACATTGGTGTATGTAACCTATAGTACACCTTGGGAAATGTTACTCAATGCACTAGAAGATATAGACCCTTGCCCTATTGCCAATGTGGAAAATGTGATCCTAGTTGCTTCAATAGATTTTTAGACCAATACAAGAAAGATATGGTTTTTAGATTTTTTAATGGATTGAATAAGTCATTCTCATAATGGATCCCATTCCAACTGTAGACAAGGTATACGATATTGTTATAAGGCAAAAGATGCAAAGAGACCTGTTAATTCAAGCATAACCAGTGCTTGAGTCATTTGTGATGATGATTACAGTAGATAAAAAGAAGAAGGTGAAGAAAGAGTATACCTATAATCATTGTGGAAAGAAGGGGCACACTAAAAACAAGTGCAATAGACTCAATGACTTTCTAGAAGACTTTAAATTTACTAAGGTGAAACAAAACTTGAAGCAAAAAAAAGTTGTAGTTAACAATGTAGTTACTGTGACTAGTATACAAGGGTCTGAGGACTGTAAAATTGATTAGGAGGAGGAAACTGTTTAAATTGGTTCCATGGCTCATATTTCCATGATTAAGCAATAGCTTAGCAAGTGAATGGAGTTCTTAAATGAAAATGGCATATGCAATAATGATGGTAAAGGTAGTTCACAAAACACTCAGCAGGGAAACCACTTTTTAGTTAACTTTGCCTTTGCATGTATTGTCTCTGGCTATCTTTGCTTCAATACAACAAAAAATTTACCTCTTAGTTTTAAAAATGTAAATGTTGATATGATAAGACAAAGTAATTGGATTGTAGACTTTGGTGCCACTGATCATATACGTTGTTCCCTTGTGGTCATTAATCAGGTTTATATTAGAGAGAGAGTGGGTCATGAGAGAGAGAGAGGGTGTACGGCAGAGCTTCTTTGAATGCTGGAGATCGGAGGAACCTAGATAAACCACATCCAAGGCAAGATGGACAGAGGGCATGGAATGTTAGAGTTTCACAAAGTATCCAGAAGTGGAGGGATAGCCTTTTCTCCATTTTTGTTGGAAATATTAGCCTAAGTGCTTCATAGATTGACATCAAGAATTGGTTCTGTCCTTTTGGCACTATCCTGGATGTCTTTCTTAAAAAAAGGAATGACCATGATAGGGGGAATTATGCTTTATACGCTTCAAAGGAAAGGACGAGATGCTTTAAACCATTGAAAGGGGTGACAATTCCATCATGAACGGTAGACACCTATTAGTGAAGCAAGCAGCCTCGAGAAGGAAATTTGAAAATCATAGAACGGAGGAGATGACCAGATTGAACAGGGTTGATGTTGTAGGGACTACCTATGAAGGTCAGTCCTTTAAAGATGTAGTTAGTGAAAACTGCTTCTCACCTCTAAATGGGAAGGGGTCAATGTCAACCCCACCAAGACGAGTGGAGAAACGGCTCATCTGGAGTTGACATGTGAGGATATCTATGAAAGGGATAATATGCAGTGGGTTTTTTACAACGCCAATGTGGAAAATAAGAAAACGTCACACGATTGAGGAAATACAAACAGACCTATCAAAGGATGGAGTAATGGTTGTTTTAACAATGATCGATGGGGAGCAGGCGCTTGTCACCTTTAACAAAAAGGAGGAAATGGAATTGCTCATTGATTTGTATTGGGAAATCTTCGAACCATGGTTTCAGTCTCTTCAGCCATTTAAAGGGATTAAATGCAACAGTTTTGTGGTATGGCTGAAAGTCAAAAATGTTTCATGGCATTTATGGCATGAAGACATTTTCAAAGCTCTAGGTAACACATGAGGGAAATTCATTTCAATTAACAACAAAACCAAAAGCAGAGGCAATTTTGATGAAGCCATGGTACAAGTAGAGGTGCAGAACCAGGAAAATTTCCCTCAACCTATGAAATTGAGCATACGAGGTATGACTTATGAGATCCAAGCTTCGGTTGAGTTGAATGTGAATGACTCCCAAATTGGGAGGTTATCCCCTCAGCTGGACGGTAACCCAAGTGAAGCTGAACGTCGGTGAACTGCAAATTTAGTGCCAAAAAAGGTGAGAAAAAATTATAGCAATAGCTGTAGTAGTTTGGCCTCGGGAATTGGACCAAAAAAGGTGTTTGATAATCAAATTCAAAATAAAGAGTTAAAGATAGAAGGTCAAAAAAGAACTATCATTGGATTTGTCTGTAAAAAGGTAGAGTGTGAAGGTGGTAAAGAGATTAAAGTGCAGCCATCTACTCATCGAAAAGGAAAAAAAATTTGGCAACTAGTGCTTGAGGAGGCTGATGGAGAGGATTGTGAATCTGGTGAGATTGATGTGATAGGTTTAGGGTCTTATCTCCAAAATATAAAAATGGTAGATGGATGGGCCTATCACGTTGGACCTCCTATAGGGTGTGAAAAGTTGGTAGGGACTTATGGAGTTGACATGGTGGATTGTGAGGGTCGTCTAGTTATCTTACCAAAAAGTGTGGGCCCACTTTTTAAGCATTGGGAGTCTGGCTCTACTAGTAAAATGAAAAGGCCAACCTTGCAGAATTTATGTATGAAGAGAAGCTAAATGGTGAGAAGTCTAGTGGATTAAACAAGCCCATCATTAAAAAAAGTTTAGTGGTGGATTATGGGGAAGCAGGCTTGGCCCTAAGGGGAAAAATGTAATGGTTAGAATAATGAAGTTGTTAAACGAAATGAAAGGATGAGCTTAATAGAGGAAACGACAAAACAAAGTGGTT